TGAAGATCTCCAGAGAAGGAGACTCCACAGCCCCCCTGGGCAGCCTGGGCCAGGGCTCGGGCACCCTCACAGTCAACAAGTTCTTCCTCCCGTTCAACTGGAACCTCTTCTGCTTCAGACTGTGCCCATGGACCCTTGTCCTGGCGCTGGGCACCACTGGGAAGAGTCTGGCTCTGTCCTGGTGACCCCCACCCTTGAGATATTTGTACGTGGTGATGAGATGCCCTCTCAGCCTTCCCTTCTCCAGGCTTCTTCAGGATGGACGGGACCCCCCGGCTCCAACCCCGTGGAGCACAAGACCCCTGAGCACGTCCCAGGCAGACGCCTTTGCACACCCACGGCTCCCAGCTCCTCCAGACCGTGAACCAGCAAATTGCCGCGCTGGGAGCCCACGGCGCAGGCTGGGCTTCTCCTCTGCCCTTCCCAAAGACATCGAAGCCCTTGTGGAGCTCAAGTCCGAGCCACCGCGCAGCCCGGCTGCTCCGCCACGACGGGCGGGAGGTTCTCGCCGCAGGAGCAGCCCACGGAAGCCCCTGCTGAGAGCACACGGACACCACGCCTGGCAGAAAGGTTCCCCAACCTTCCATGGCGAAAACCTCACCCCCTTTCGTCTGCCTGTTCCATGCGAGGTGACCACCTCTGGGCCAACGCACACGTGCCCCCCCTTGCACACAAGGTGCCCGATCTAAGGGGCTCCAGATGGCTCCCGGCACACAGGCTGCACACAAACACATCCCATTGTGGTTCCAGTTAGGCAACTGGCTTGGCACTGGGGCGATGGGCTCCTCCGGGATAGGGGATGCGGAGCCCAGGAGCCCCAGGCTCCATCGCAGCCATCGGGGACGTGGGCTTCTCCTCCCGCCCGGCCGCAGCCCGGGGCGCCCAGCTCATGGATTCTCCCCGGGTGCTGCTCCGCAGCTCGGGCTTCTCACGGGGGGCTGAGGAGCAGCGCGATCCGGGCACCGCGTAATTGCACGTTAAGGGTTAATTAAGCCGGATCGATACACGGGGCCAAAAGAAGGAAGGAGAAACTTCTTCATGGAAAGGGCTGTCAGGCTCTGGAAGGGGCTGCCCAGGGAGGTGGTCGAGTCCCCATCCCTGGGGGGATTTAAAAGAAGGATGGATGAGGTGCTGAGGGCCAGGGGGGGTGGGATGGCAGGGGTAGGGGAATGGTTGGACTCGATGATCTCAAAGGGCTTTTCCAACCAAAGTGAGTCTAGGATTCCATGAGGCACTGAAATGCGGTGCGCAGGTTGCCAGTCAGAACCGATCTGCTGCGTCCGCCGTTCCCCCGCAGAGAGCCTGGATCAAGCGACTTATCACAAGCAGGGCAGGATTAATCTCCAAGCCACTTTGTTTGCTTTTGCCCGTGTTGGCGCACTAATAAATGAGCCAATTTATTACATGTGACAAGCTTGTGGTACACCCCAAGGAGCCGAATTAGGCAGGGATTTTTAACCTCTGAAAACCACTCGGAAAAAATAAAAGAAGGGAAGAAGAAAAGCGACTCTTCCTCCCGTAAACGCAGCCCGGAGTGGGTTTGGCAGCAGCCCAAAGAGACGCAGGCGTGGGGGAACGCGACGAGGGGACAGGAGGGAGAGGCTGGGAGCAGGACGGTCCCGCTCACCCCCCCGGCACGGACGCGGCCCCAGCGGCCGAACCCCGGCAGAGCTTGGGCAGGGCAGGTCCCGTTGTTGCCTCCCGGCTGCG